GTTTGGGTTCAAAGTGAGCAGAGGTCCTCGAGGTCTTGGGAAAGCTACAGTTCCACGGACAGCGGGTAGATGGCACAATTTTCTTACATTTATGAGCAGAACGGAGTCAAACCTTGTGAACTAAGTAGAGGTGAAAGTCAGTTTATTTTAATGGACCGGGTTAAAGTGGGGGGAAAGGATCACAGAAGTAAAAGAAAACGAGGAAGATTAAAACAAGAAACAAACAGCCCGGGCAGTTGATTTAAGGTTTACAGCCCCTTTATAGCAATTTGGCATAATAATATCACCACTACTGTTATGATTACAAACACACAGCTTCCACTGCCATTAATAGTGGTAGTTCCCAGAATTTTGGGGCCTCTGTGTTCACATAAAAGCTGATGTCCTACCTGCTCAACGTCTCACTTCTAGGATTCATGGTAAATTGGCTGTAGTGAGTCAGCCTGCACAGGCTGGATTGGCTAATTCATCATAGTGATAGTTCCAAGTTGCAAAATAATGGTCAGATTTGTCGCTCAACTGTGCGGACGCGCGCGTGGAAGAGATTCCGTGAGAGAAAGACTGCATCCCTATCTTTTTTTTCCTTTTTAATCGACCCCCTAACAGTCCGTGAGCCCTGATAGAAGCTCTCAGGTTCGGTGCGTAAACCCGGGCAGGGGACGTGAGGGAGCTGCCAGCCTGCAGCATCCTCTCCGCGCGCTCTTATTCCCCCTCTCTAGGGTTATACCACCGCGCGTGTCAGGAGTTTTTCGCATCACGCGGACGTAAATAAAAGTGACGTCGCAGCGAGTTACACCTCGTTAGTTTTTTTGTGCGATGCTAATAAATGAACAGAAGTACAAATTATGGACTCCGGTGGACAAATCACAGGCTGTCAGCCGAAATCAGCCCAGTCTGGGTGGAGATCCGAGCCACGGAGAGCCACCCTGACGCTTCGCTTCTGATTTGAGGGGGGATCCAACCTTCTTTGAAGGCTGTTGATATGTTGGTGGGGGGATTGTTTTTTTTTGTAGTTTTTTTTTTTGGCCTTGTTTCCTTGATCCTTTTGTGTGCTCAGAAACAAAGAAGAAACTTGGTCCAATTAACCGCTGATTGCACGTGTGGTGTGTGTCCACCGGTTATCAGCATCAGGCTGGACTCTGTGGCTATACACCTCAGGGGCAGTTTGGTTGGACGAGCAGGGAAAACACCACTGTACGGATAAATAGCTCTTTCAGCAAGAAGCCCATGATGAAAGGCCATCAGCAACACATCACAATCATCATTTTCATCATTATCAACGACAACAGAACTGCACACTACCCTCTCACACACACACAGGCACAAACACACAAACACACACACCCCGTCAGCGGCAGAGACAGTGATAAAAGTTGGCTTCCAAACCATCTGATTAAACCTCTGGTTCTAACTTGCATGCCTAACTCTTAACTAAGCCAACAGTACCAATAATAATTACCGAAAGGCCAAAGCACGCGTATCGACGCCTGGCACTGGGCACCATCAGAGCCATTTTGTGCGTTTCACACGCACACACACACTCGCAGGTACACGGTCATGTGCACGGATGAGGAGGCTTTTTACGGGCTTGCTTTCAGAGAGGTCCAGTCGATGCTGTAAAGCTGTAAATTAAACCAGGACCATAACTAGGCAAAACAAGGGGGAGCCATCGGAAATAATTTTACATATTTCCCCCTTTCAAGGCAGGCTCTCTTATTTGGACGGTGGTATTTACGGCGTATACTGTATAATTCACTCTATTAATATTTATGCGAGCTCGAATAACGCGGTGGAGAAGCTGAGTTGGGCATTTCCTGCGTTTTAGTCTCTATCCCATGTCAGGGAGGGGAGGGGAGGGGGGGGGGTCCACTGCTATGAAATGTTATTGTCTGTTCAGGCTCTGCGCCTCATTACAAGTCGTCTCCTATTTCTGAAGTTCAACAACAAGAAAAAACTCGAGTCCCCTTATTTTCCAAAGAGAATCCATAGATCGCTTCTTTTTTTTTGGTGTGAAACGTCGTCGCCTTGAAGGCAAACGTGAAGGCGTCCGAGCAGCCTGTTGCCTGACTGATTCATTATTTTGTAATTCATTAATCACTTTCACAGGGCAAAAGGGCAACAGCAAATTGACTCCAGTGTCCCCCACTTTTAAACCGAACGCACACACAAGCACACACACACACACACACACAAGCACCAAAGCGCACGCGCACAAGCGGAATTTCACATGTAAAAAAAAACAAAAAAAACATGAAAAACCGATGGGTTCAAATTCATAAATTATAATTTAATACCAAGAACAAATTTACAGCAGAATGCTTGTTTACAATAAGCTAACACAAACAAACAAGAATTGTGTTCAACTATAAACTTTCACACACACTCACATATATCACTTGCAATTAATAATAATAATAATGATAAAAAAAAGTATCTATACGTTATCAATACCCTGCAGTCATATATTTTTATATATTTATATAAAAACGTGGGTCAGTTTAAACTGTTCATAATTACAATCATGTATCATTCTCTGGTCCATATGTGGCCACGAACAGCCAAAGATCAGTGTTCAATCAGTGATCCCTTTTAATTCAACCACAACATGGTGTTTTTGTGTGTGTTGAAGAAAAGCCTCAAAACAAGGACAAAATGCTAGCTTCCAAAGACACACGCGCACGCACACACGCATTCTCGCACGCACACGCGCACCACGGCACCTGTCAAAGACCAAAGGAGCAATAACACTAAATTTAAAATATTAGCTCCTTTTTTTTTCTTCCAAAAAAAACCAAAAAAAAAAAAACCTGCTCACCCTGTTTAAGTCTGTAGCCTAATAATGAACGTCGTTTCTTTTCTTTTTTTCTTTTCTGTTTCTTTAAATACAAGGGCTAGTGTGTACTGAATGCACAGATTATATCTATACAGTCAAAAATAAAAGAGAGAAAGAGAGAGAAAACATTTACATTTATATATCAAAGTTAAAATAGGTTAGCGACCTGTGGCCATGCATTCACAGTCTAAATATACATGAAAAAGAAAACATTTGTAGTAATATGTATATACATTAAAAACATAACTTTCAGTGCTACTAGCTAAGTCTGCCACTCAATTTTGAAGACGTTGTATTACCGAGAAAAAAAATGGCAACCACAGATTTTTCTTAATCACATATACTGTGTATAAAGGAAAAACTCGTTGAAATGAACTGACCTATATTTACAAGAATACTGCCTCTAATCAGAGTTTTTCAAGTGAAATACACAACTGTAATCTAATTGTGTTCCCCCAAAATGTTGCAGGCCCACTTTAACAACGTTTTGATAAGAAATCACATCATGTTTGTCAGGCACTTAATGCTTGAAGTGAATAAAGGGTGACATTTCAGGGACGCTTTAATAATACTGCTATCAAACACTACTCTGGCTGGACATCAAAACTTTAATGACCCTTAACCTTTCCAACTTTTTTCTTTGAAAAAGCAAATTTAAAAAAACAACAAAAAGAAGCAAAAAACAAAGTTGGTTTTGCACCGTGGGCCATTTCAGCCTCTGCAGACCCTCCTTACTGTGTAGGTAACGCACTTTACAGCGACCTCAAACACCTTTATCTAACAGCAGGGCCTGACTACCTGTAGAAATTGTCTTTTTAGCTCTGATGTATTTGGGGCGGTGGGGGGGGAAATTAACTCAGATATTCCAAATAGTTTAAAACCCATCATGTCTGCGTGCGTCCAATTATTCCATTTCAAATTTAAGAGAGGTTATGTAGTTTCTGTCCAACAAAAGCAGATCCTGTAACTTTATGATGGTAAAGACCAAAATAATGTTTCAACTGGGTCATTAAGTTTAGCATGAACTCCAAAAAACACCTCCCTTTTCCCCAGTTGGAATTGGTCATCCTAATAATAAGTGCGCTTGCAGCATTAAGCCTAGATGATAAGCCTATTCTCCTATTGCTGTGGTTTTAATTCTTTTTAGAACTTTTTTTTAAACATTATTTCACCATTTTAAAATAAATCATTGTCTTAGAAAATAACACCACCTGTACTACAGAAATCACATAGGCCGGTTTGTAACCAGAAAGGAGGAACAAAGAAAGTACAAAACACAGCTATACATGGACACAGGACAAGTCATTTCAGAAAGGGAAAATCACGTTTTGTAGTTTCCCTTTCTCCATTTTTTTTAACCCAAATTTTCCATTTTAAATGCACTTAATACTTAAAATTTCCTTATAAGGATCAACAAACCCCCTCTCCTTTTTTTCCCTCTTTTTCTTCTTTAATTAAAAAAAATGGATCGAAGCAGGTTGTTCTGCATGAACACGGGGAGCTTGTGTCTGCCATTTTGAAAGTTCAGTGGATGTCTCAATTTTTCTTTATCTCTCTTTTTTTATTTCGGAGCGGGGGGGTGGGGGTGTGGGGTAGTTTCACAGTCATTTACGTCAATGTCTTTCTTCATGAAAGCCAGCCCCATGTAACAGCCGGTTGAGTTTTTTTTCTTCTCTTTTTTTTCCTTTTTTAATTCCTTCCACAAAAGCAGCTATAATCATTGTAGTCTCGCAGCCCCCCCCCCCCCTCCCCCCCCACCAGCCCCACCTTTTGTTAGTTCGTCTCCTTCTTGGTTTTACTGAATTGACATGTAAGGCCAGTTAAAACTGCTCCCCGAAAGCAACATATCCCTGATGAGAGTTTCAATTGGGGTTTTACCTACCAATCGGACGAAAAATAATTGTTCTATGACCGAGGAAGAGACTGTGCGGAGCGAAGGCAAGCGGAGTAACAACTTCCCAAACCGTGTTGGCTGGTTGGGGTACTGGCTCCGGACATATTCCTCCAGGGCGCACTGGGACTTCTCTTGCAAACTTTCCACATGGGCCACATCTGAGAGGCCACAAGCATCTGAGAGGGGGGGAAAGCAAATAAACATTAATAAAGTCCTTCTCTCGCTTGAAGTTTTTTCCCACTGTGGTGATATACTACAGCCAAAATTGATTGCCTGTTTCCCCATACATATATATATGTATATACATAAATATATATATGAACATTTACATAATTTATTTATATAGAACATTTTTAGTCCAACAATATTTTTCATATTTATTTGTAATCCTCACAGTAAAGTTTGTGCTTGGTGAAAATTGCATAATTTATTCCAAATAATTCAAAGAAAATTTTGAAACCATACGTCGTCATTATTATCGTAAATAGTTTTCCCTCAACTATCAGTATTTCTATTTGACCTAAAAGTCATCTAGCCCAAAAAGGCCTAATTATTTAGCGATAGATCAAACGGCTGTGGCACCTCGCTGTCTTTCCTCTGTGTGTTCCACTGCTGCTAGAAGTCGGTTATTTGTCTCGATGGAGCCACGGAGAAGTAAATAATTAAGCATACTCATAGCTGAGGACTGCGTTAGATGGCTGTGTGTTTGCTCGGCGCAGGACGGGAGGGGGCGGGAGAGAGAGGCGAACACACGGAGACCTGCTGACCTTTAGTGAGCTGAGATTTAGCTGAGGAAAAGGGGCCCGTAGCCTTCGGAGGACTGGTCATACTATACCATCCGAGAGGCAGAATCTCTCCATCTAGGCGGCCGCATGTGGGCGGCAGCTGATAATGTGCCAAAAACGCCTTTACGCGCACTGGTTAAGTTTGTGGAGTTTACGCATGACAACAAGCAAAGCAGCGAAGGCGTGTCAGTCAAACTTTAACGTACAGCTCGTTTTCAAGCCCCAGGACTCAGGTATAGGAGAGACAAATTGAGCCTCCATAAAAGGTGAATAATAAAATTCAATATCCTGCAATGTTTTTGTTTTTTTTAAGAGCTAATAAGTCACCACGAGGACAATATGGCAGCTAAAGAGCTCCATGAGAATCAGGGTCTGCTGCTCCCAGGTAGCATTTAAAACATCTACAGTTACCCTTTGCTGAAACGTTAGAAATAACTTGTTATTTCAAGGGGTTATTTTCTACTTGATTTTTTGTTACTAATGCAAAAAAATAAAAAAATTATGTGGGAAAAAGCGTGCAGGCTTGGTCAGCAGGAGCCTGGAGTCCAGCAAGGTGCAGAGCGTATTTCTGCAAATCAAATGAGAATCGCCCCTCCTGTCAGTGCTCAGCATCACACAATGCTGCCGGGTACTGGCATATTTGCAATTACAGTGTGTGCACGGGTGCTGCATGCTTTTTGTCTCACATGTCTGTCCCCATAAATGACAAGAGAGCGTTGAAACCTGCGCTTTGCTTTTACCGTGTGCAAATGGGACATTAGGCTTGTCTTTCTTTTGCTACACCCCTCCCCCTCGGAGTCTGACATCATTTATATCTGTCATTTCCTACAAACAAGACGTGGGGTCTGCACACAATGATAAATGGCTGGGGGGAAAAATATCCAAGTGTGAAAATTCACATGCAGATCATTTGATATTCCATAATATCTGTATTTTATGATGCTTGAGGCAATTATTTTGGCGTTATCTATTTTATTTAACTCCAGATTATTTTCTAATGTATCACTCTGACTATCTGCTTTGTCGTCAGGTTAATTAAAAAGAACCCTGTGTGGCCATGTTGCAATTTTCACTGGATTCTGGTGTGTGTGCCTGATAAATAACGATTAATCAAATGAATTTTTATTTTAACCACCCTGGGGTCTGCTCAAAAGGCATCGAGCGTTTAAGTAGAATGTTTATCTAATCCAAGCAACAGCCTCAAGCCAGTGCAGACATATTAAGGTCAGCGTTGATTGGGCCGATGTCAGGGTGCAGGTTAGTGACACTCGCGCGCACTTTGAACTTGGAGCGCGCCGATCTATTGTCTTACCTGTGGTGAAGAGCACAATTGCCTTTAAGCAGCTATATTCGGCAGAGTCGACGTGCAACGCTTTGAGCTTCTCCACTTGCTCTTGGAAGATCCTAATGTGGTCCATGAAGGCCACCACTCTGTCCGCGGACATGGGGGAGGCGTGGAGGCCGGCCGCGGCCAGCAGAGGAGCCACATGCAGGGGCATGGAGCACTGCGCCGCGTTCAGCACAAACAACTCACTCCACGTCAACCGCAGCAGAGCCACCTGGTCGGTGATCTGCAGGTCTGGAAAGAAGGGAATATTCCTGGCCCACTCCACGGCGCTGAAGAGCATCCTGGCTGCTAGTTCACAAATGTTCTCGATGCCCATGATGTTGTTGGGCTGCATGCACTGGCTGCCATACCGGGACGTCGGGTAGGGCTCCGCTCTCAGCAGAAGAGAGATATATCCGGATAAGTAGGAATGGCAGTGGAGTGGGTCCCCGTTTGTCAGGGCGAACTGGCCGTGGTGTGGCTGTGTGGGTGGCACCCGTCCTCTTTGCACGGCTGCAGTAAAAAGAGAAACTACAGATATTGAAGCCTGAATTCTACAAATTATCACACAGTCCTTCTGACAATGGAGTCTGCTGGTAATTAATTAACACACATTTTAGACAAGGGGGAAACTTAACGGTGGCTGTAAAAAAAATAACGATACAGAATTCAGAATTAAACATGTTGTGTGTAAGATAAACACACACTTATACACACATTACTGGATCCTGATTTTTTTTTTTTTGGTGGTTGTTTTGTTTAACACGACACGCCATCTTCATGGCAGTAATGTGACTGATGCAAAGCCCACGTGCTTTATTAATAACGTGTCCACGTTTAGCCGGAGCTTTTGCAGATGTGCAGCTTTTTAAAAACGCTCTTATTCTGCAACAGCAACACGAGCTGGCTGTGAAGGAACACAAAGAGGGCAGGAGACCTTGCATGTTTAACCCTTAACCTACTTAGCTATTCATCTCGTTTTACCACCTATGCAGGCCTTTTTTAGAAAAAACCCCAAAAAAAAAAAAAAAAAAAAAATCTAATTTGTTGCAAGGTGGGGTTTGGCAGTTTTTTTTTGTTTTTTTTTAGGATTCCCCAACCCGAGCAAATGTCCAGCTCCAGACACAGCGACCGAGATTAGCGGCGTGGATGTAGCCAGAACACGCCGTCTCATAATTCCACCCTCGCCATAATAGCGCAGAGGGCTGTATTCCATCAGCTATTCTACACCCGCGCGCCTTTATCCTTATCTAAATATGAATTCTATCGCCTCGGCCGGACGGGGTCTGGGGCGTTATTTTGGGGGAAAACGCGGGGCTGCTGGGTGCTGTAACGCAATGCTAAAAGCAGGAGCCGGCCGGCCACGTCTCCACCACAACAGAGACAGCGGCTCCATTCCGCGCTGCTGCCGCACGCCCAGGCAGGGAACGGCCGGGAGAAAGGACAAGGGGGGGGGGGGGGGACATAATAGCTTATGGTTCATGGAAGCACTTCCAACTCACACACACACACACACGTATACACACACACGTACACGGATAAGAAAACAAAAAATCCCAATACCTTCCCGTCTCATGCCGACTTTAAGGCATTTTTTGAGGCGGCAGTACTGACACTGATTGCGGTGGTGCTGGTCGATTGGACAATTCCTGTTGGCACGGCATGTGTAAGTGAGGTTCCGTCGTACGCTCCGCTTGAAGAAGCTTTTGCACCCCTCGCAGGTGAACTGGCCATAGTGCTTGCCGCTGGATTTGTCCCCGCACACCACGCACTCGATGTGCTGCGGCTGCTTCTCCGACTGCTGCGTGGTCTGGTTGCTCGGCGTGGACTGCGTGTTGTTCGGGGGTCCCTGCACCGGAGTCTGGGGGGTCGGAGGGGCGACCTGAGACGCTGTCAGACTCAACTGGCCCGGCTGAGGCGTGGGAAGGGATAGTCCTCCTTGGGTCTGCGAGGAAAGGGCGCCTTGGGTGTCAGCCACATCGTCCTGGGAGCCTCTCCACACTACCATTGCCATATCTATCAGTCAACGTAAAGAAACTTTTTGTCTGCCGTTTTGCTGTCGCGGTGTGGAGAACGTCTCGGGGAAATCGCGGCAAAACTGGGGACTAAACGACCAGCAAAAAAAAAATGTCAGATCTAGCCTATGCGTTTGAATCCACTCGGAGTCTCCCGACAACAACAAAAAAAAAACAACCTGGCGACTTATTGCTGTTGGAGTCGGTTGCGTTGAGGCACGTTTTCAGAAGTGATGCGATGGCGAGCTGAGTCGCTGCCTTGCGCTTAAAGGCCAAGTCCAGGGGCGCTTACAGTCAGCCATCCAGCACAGCCATCAGTGGGGGGAAAAGGTAGGTTAAATATTAAAAAAAGAGAACCAACCGAGGTAGCATGGACTGTTCAGTGGAGGATGGAGCAGGCTGGCCACACCGCTCCCGCAGCAGCACAAAACACAACTGGTGAGCACACTGTAGCAGCTACTATCAAGTTCCAGCGCAAGTCTTGGGAGGAAAAAAAAAATCACCAACTGGGTTTGAAGAGAGGAAAAAAAAAAGGGGGAAAAGAAATGCGTCTTCTTCCTTTTTCTCCTTGTGAGGTAGCGCCCAGCAAGCGCGCAGCCGAAGCCAATGTTTTGGAGAGCTTGGAAATATTAAGACAACTCTCCTCCAGAATAGCGAAAGCGCTAAAACAAAAAAAAAACACAAAGATCGCAATCTGCAAACCTCCTCCGTGCACGGAAAAATAATCGGGGGAAAAAGGAGCGGAGAATCAAAGTGATCAAATATGTTAAAAAGGCGGAGGTTAGGAAGTGATTTGCGATTGGTAGGAGCCGGGCTGGCAGAATGCTTTCTCTCTGATCAGCTCACTGAGCTCTCTATATAGTGAACTTTGACACGACTGCTGCAACTTAGCACACGTTACCATGGAGATCGGCTGCCATATAAGGAAGGAGAGTGTGTTTGACTGGTCAGAGCTCAGGGACCTCCCCCTGAACCCCATTGGCTAGTCGGCACTTGTGCTACTTGGTACCTTGCCAGAGCCAGCATGGAGGTCGAGAGGGCCGCTTGGTCCTAAAGAGAGACGGGTTTTATCCCCCCCCCATCCACCGAAAGAGGAATCATTTCTAGTCATTCAAATTGCCCAGACCATAGGATGCACTCACATGCAGCCCGACGGAGATTTAGCTATTACAAGAAGAAAAAAAATATTCCCCCTCATATTGCGTTACAGTAGATCCGGTGGCAATATAACCGGCTGTAATATCTGAGGATGTCCCGCAGACACAGTTGTGCCTTCTGGGCATAAACTATATTCATTACAATGCTGATCATATGAGGCTATATAGGCTATATATGTGGATATTAAAAAAAAATACACACCAGAAAAACAAACAAAACTAAAACACATTCTGAATAAACCCACAAACATATCAAGGCTGTCGTCCTTATTTAGTGAGACTGTAAGAAATATCACGTCTGTAACTGAATACGGTGAGAAAAAAACTCAAAAACTCTGACGTTTTTAAAAATAATAAAAACCGATAATTTATCTGTTATTGACAGACGTACACAATTTTCACATCTTGAATATGGGTGCTTCAGAAGACTAAGGGAGACATTCCTATAACGCTTTTGCATATCTCTAGTAAAATATAAGGTTGCGTATAGAAATCATCCACGCTCCCGCGTGCACATCCCACCGATAACCAAGTCCCCAAATCTACTGGCCCAGCATGGGCAGTATCCTGCACTCCGAAAAGTCAGAGTTTTTCTGCCTGTAGTCAAAAACAAGAAAACCGCCAAAGCTTCAAAAGGAGAACACATTCAGAGATGTCATGTGAGGTCAAAGGCCATATACCCCATCACACTAAGACTGAGATGAAAGTGAAGCCACACACACACACTCACACACACACGCACGCACACGAGTGCACACATTAAGTTTACGCTGATCTTTTATAATTTGTTACAAGCTTCCCCTAAAATTAACTGTAGATGCAGCTGGTGATGGTAAGACACAAAGTGGAGGATGCTTTGCACAGAGCAGGGAGCCGGTGGTCATTCAGGAGTCAGGTCACACGTTTCTGCCCTCTGAAGGCTTCACTTTCTCCAAAAGCCGGAGGCTGTCAGAGTTGAACCGCAGGTAAAACTTCAGAGCCACCGGGGTGGACCTGGGCAGCCCGGTCAGTCACCCTCACACACAGAGCAGCAGCAGCACGGTGTGTGAGGGTGTCTGACAGTATATGGCTGCCCCCTAGCGTATGAAACCTTTGCTTCCAATCGGATTCAATTCGCAGGAGCCACCCGACGCGGAAACAGCTCCAGTCTCGCCTCTCGCATCAAACTAACGAGCCCCGTTTTTTAAACCGATGACTGTTTGTTTAAAATCTATTTTACACGACTTGGACGGCAAAGCTTTGAGAGTTGCCAAAGTTGGATTTACTTTACCCCCCCCACCTCTCGCTTCAGCCAGTCCTAGCGGTGGTATTTACAGCAATTATTCCACAACAAATTAGCCGATTGTATTTTGTCTGCATTACTATTTTGTCGGTTTCATTTACAGATCTCCCGGGCATGGAAAGTCTGTAAATAAATGCTTCGAAATGTACCGTCTCACCGGGACCAAGTTTTGCTACAAATGGTAAGTATGTTCGTTCTTTTTTTAGCCATAAATTCGCGATGTAACAAGCGCTATTCCTTATATTTAAATCTGATCTTTTTTTTTCCAACATGCGGACAGTATCTCCGTTAAAATAAACGACATTTTCTTCTGAAAACAGTCTTTAAAATATATATGTATATAAATATGTACATGCGTAAATGCCACGGTGCCAAGCGAATACGTGACTTATTCATTTTCTCTAATTACCCAATTATTATTTTTCAAAGTGGTCACAACAAGCCAAACTAGTCTGCAAATGTCCATTCACAAAGCCATTTAATAGAGATAGTGAGGCAGGAGGCTGTGTTCTTGGTAACAAACCTACCAAATGCATATGCTGCTGATTCGTCCGTTGCAGGATGCATCTTCTCTCTCAATCACAATATATTTAGTCTTCTCTTTTCGACACAGAGCTCGGACTGAAGCTGGCAAAGCTTCCTCTCCAACAGACCGGGAGCAAACACCAAAAAAACAAAAAAAAAAGCGCACGTTGTTTTATTGTAAAATTGCTATGACTGATGATCGTGCAAAAACTTTGGAGAGCGGAAAACTAACAACTGGTTCACGTCATGTGTTGTTGAGCGAGAAAATCGCAAATATAAGTTGACGTGTGGTCCGAGCCGGGTCTGATTAGGCTGGAGATGACCAGGAGCCTGTGTGTGAGCTTTACAGCAGGCAGATATCTCCTACAGTAATGTGGCCGAGGCGCGTTGGTCCGCCGCTGCTTTGTGTGTGTGAGGGAGAGGGAGGGGGCCGCCACAGCAGACACCTGTCTGTAAGTGTGGCGAGAAAGAGACGTTAGATTCCGCATGTTGGAAATATCTACCGAGATTGGAAGCAAAGTTAAAAAAAAAAAAAAAAAAAAAAAAACCGAGGTAGCAATTTAATGAATGTTTAATATGTATATTACGTATATTTGCTATTAGATTATACATATTTGATATGGAGTGTAGAAGGAAATAATAATGATGATAATAATAATAACGATAATAATAAAAACTCGACTGGTCATTAATTAATTGGTCATATTTGTGAGTTATATTTGGGCATTGGAATATTAAGCATTGTGTCAAAAGGCCCAATTAACCTCGCGTAAATCTATACCGGAATGGCATTTACGCACTTATTTTCCCCACATAAACGTTTCCACACGAACACAACTAATTTGCAATTCTACGCCTCTCTACACCCAGGTACTGTTTCTCCTTCTTCTTCTCCTTTTTTTTTCTTTCTTTTTTTCTTATGTTTCATGTGCGCTTTGTGCACTGGTTCTCCCTTTAGTTGGGGATGAAAGCCCTATGTGCTCGGCGTGCTCTCACGCACACAACAGTGGCGCTGCCCAACGGGATCAGTATCGATCCGGGGGAGACAGAGGATGTCGCCTTGCACTAAATATTTACTGATCGCACACAAATAGCTGAGTCTTTAACGATTTTTCACGCTCCGTCTGGGAGAAAGGACTAAATAACTTTATTATTGTTGGTATAACAAAGCACACACTCTGCGAGACAGGAGTGTAGATGTGCTGATTGGGATGATTGCAGTTAAATTAATCGATAGAGGGGCAGATAATAGTAGAGTCACGGGCATGCAAAGAAAATAAGAAATTCACCCGTATATATGAGGTTAAACTATAGTATGTTCCCATAGTGACTTACTAGTGTAGAGCATAAAGATCATATAATTACAATACATTTCTGACTGGAAATATAATGAACATGATTTTTTTTTGGGGGGTGGAGGGATTTTCTTTTCTACTTAAAACAGTTCAATATCTAAGAAAAAAAATTAAAAAAAATAAGGACAGCCAAAAATCCCTCTCACACTTGTGGTAAAAAATTAAAACTGGGAGGGAAAAAAGTTCATTTTATTCTTAGCTATGCCTGTGCCAAGTCCTCCATGCAGATAGAGGGATGCTGACCTGGAGGTCTCCAAGTTCTCGGCCTGATTAACCCTTTCAGAGCCGTGCAGGAGCAAAGGTTAACCGGGCTAATCAACTTCAAGAGTCTGATTGAATTAGACTGTGGAATCAGGACAGAAACTAAAATGTCCCACTTCAAAACATTCTGAAGAGAAACCTTGGTCACTTATAGCCGGTGACAAAATTTCTCCGCACATAAATAAGATAGACGAGTGAATTTCATATAAGACAAGATACTATTTTCATGTTATTAGGCAACAGGTGCAAAGGTCTAACATCCCCAGCTTAATGTCAGTGCTCCGACGCCCTGTTTGCATTCACAAATGGATTCCTTTCTTCTTGAATCAGATCGTGTGATTGATAGCTGTGCCTAATATGTCCTGTCATGGCATCTGTAGCAAAGCATATTATCAATCAGTTTAACTCCAAAGTTTTTA